GTGCCCCCGCCGCTGCCGGGTTCCCGCCCGCGGGGACGCTTACGGGCAGGGGTGCAGGTTCTGGATGGCCATCACCGCCAGCCCGTTGGCCATCTTGTCCGTGAAGCTCATGGCGCCGTAGACGAAGGCTCCGCTGTGCTGCCCGGGGGAGGAAACCTCCTGAGCGGCTGCGGGAGCCGCGTGCCCTCTGATGGGCTGAGCCCGCACTGCAGCCGGGCCCGCACCGGGGCTGCGTCTGCATCCCGCGTGTCCCGCCCGCTGGGACACCCTGCTGGGACATCCCTCTGGGACATCCCTGCTGGGACATCCCTCTGGGACACCCTCCTGGGACAACTCACTGGGATACTCTGCTGGGACACCCCCCCTGAGACACCCTATTGGGACATCCTGCTGGGACACCCTGCTGGGACATCCCTCTGGGACACCCTCCTGGGACAACTCACTGGGATACTCTGCTGGGACACCCCCCCTGAGACACCCTATTGGGACACCCTGATGGGACATCCCTCTGGGACATCCCTCTGGGACACCCTCCTGGGACAACCCACTGGGATACTCTGCTGGGCCACCCCCCCTTGAGACACCCTATTGGGACACCCTGCTGGGACCCTCCGTCCCTCCTGACTGGGAGGAGCAGATGTACCGTGTTGGTGCCAATGAGATCTGCTGTCATGGAGAGGGAGGTGACCAGGATGGTGGCAGAGCCAGCTCCCAGCAGCACGGCTGCCCCGTAGATCTCAGCTCCCATCTCCTTGGTCAGGGCCACCCAGGAGGCAAAGGCCAAGATCACCAAGATGCCCGCGAAGTAGGTGAGCTGCTCCAGGCCAGAGTGGGGACAGGCAGAGGGAGAGGGGACAGCTCAGTCCCTGGCTGGCTGGACAGGGTGCAGGGGCCAGCCAGGGACCTGCAGGAACAGCCCTGGCTCTCCCCTGGCTGAGCTTAAAAGAGGAGCCCCTCACCCTGCCCACCACCCGCTCTGTCCCCGTGGGACCTGTGCTGCAGCAGGGGGACACAGGATGCACAGGGGGTCCCCACTTCCTGGCCAGTGTGCTCTGCTCACTCATGTGGTCAAAGATCTGGGTCTAACTCAAACCTCACCAGGCCCCCAGGACTCACATTTCGACCTATCCACTTATTTACAGGCTTCATGAGGAAGGAGGAGAGGAAGCCACTGATGTACATCACGAGGGGGATGGTGGCAATGTATTTCTGCAAGAGGTGAGGACAGGGAGAAGATGAGCTTGGGACCATCAGCACAGGACCCCTGCCAACGCCACCTCATGGGGCAGGCAGGGACCTGCTCCATTCCCACCTTGGGCAGCAGCAGCGAGTTGGTCAGGTACATGGCAATGTAGGTCTGGGAAAGGTTGACGATGAGCCTGGTGGACATGTAGAGCATGGCAACCTGTGGGGGGACAGGACAGAACCTCTCAGCCTGTGCAGACTGGAGGTAGAGAAGGCAGGCACCTTCCATGCCCAACCCTGCCATGGCAGAGTTGCCCACAGAGGAGGGAACAGCCCCCTGCTGTGGTCAGTGGGTGCCCAGGACAGCCTATCTCTGCATTCTGACCCACAGCAGGATAATGTCCCCCTGCCAGAGGATGCCCACAGCAGCCCAGGACAGACACCACAAGCCCTGCCTGCAGGTAGAAGGTACCTGGTAGAAGGCAGGTTCCAGCAGCCAGTCCTTCCAGATCAGCAGTGGGTGCACGGGGCTTGCTGGCTCCTTGTGCAGCAGCGGGGTGCTCTCCTCCAGCTGGGGCAGCAGGCGCGGCGGGTACGGCTTCTCTTTGGTGCCCAGGTGGAAGATGAGGGAGAACAGGGCCCCCAGCCCCAACACAATGAGGGACAGGTTCTGGGTGAGACAGAGGGAGTTAGCATAGTAAGGGGAGTCTTTGCCTGCACCTCATCCACCCCCCAGCAGTCTGGTGGATGAAGAGGGTTTCCCAAAAACCCAGGGAGAGCTCAGAGCAGTCCCCGTGGCAGGTACCACTTCAGAGCACTGCTGTGTCACTCCCTCTGGTCCCTCCTCAGTTGAGCCACATCCCACCTAGAGAAGAAACAACCCCAGGGAATGAGCCTTGCTACTAACCCGAAATATTGGGACATCCTGGATGCCAAGGTGCTCTGTGCGGTCAGGCTGGTCCACCTGGAAGTTCAGCAGGAGCCAGGCCAGGCCATAGACAGCAATATTGGCCACGACAGTAAAGGCATACCTGGGGAAAGACAGCACCCCAAGGTGATGCAGAGGGACAAGCACAGCCCCAGGCTCAGCAGGGACACCTCGATCCAAAGCTGCCCTCCAAGCCAGCTCTGCTACAGCCAGCTCTGCATGCCAGTGTCACTGCTCAGGTGACACCTCCCAGGGCACCTGGCCAGGCCTTATCAGGGCTCCTCCCAGCAGGCACAATGCAAGCCCCAGGGCCTGACAACCCTTTTGGGGAAGGAATTGTTTCCAAGATCCAATCTTAACCTCCCCTGGCACAACTTGAGGCCATTTCCTCTTGTCCCATCACTTGTTCCTTGAGAGAAGAGACGAACCCGCCCCTTGCTCAAACCTCCTTTCAGGGAGTTGGAGAGAGCAAGGAGGTCTCCTCCCCTCAGCCTCCTTTCCTCCAGGCTGAACACCCCCAGTTCCCTCAACTGCTCCTCCTAAGCTGACCTGTTCAAGAGCAGCATGGGGGAAAGGGACCTGGGGGTCCTGGTGGACAGGAGAATGAGCATGACCAGCAACGTGCCCTTGTGGCCAAGAAGGCCAATGGATCCTGGGGTGCATTAGAAAGGGGGTGGTTGGTAGTTCAAGGGAGGTTCTCCTCGCCCTCTATTCCACCTTGGTGAGGCCACATCTGGAATATTGTGTCCAGTTCTGGGCCCCTCAGTTCAGGAAGGACAGGGAACTGCTTGAAAGAGCCCATGGCAGAGCCACAGAGATGATGGAGGGAGTGGAACATCTCCCTGCTGAGGAAAGGCTGAGGGAGCTGGGTCTGTTGGGCTTGGAGGAGACTGAGGGGAGACCTCATCAGTGTTTATAAATATGTAAAGAGTGAGTGTCAGGAGGACAGAGCCAGGTTCTTCTCAGTGATGTCCAGTGACAGGACAAGGGGCAATGGGTGCAAACTGGAGCACAGGAGGTTCCATGTAAACATGAAGAAAAACTTCTTTCCTGTGAGTGTGACAGAGCCCTGGGACAGGCTGTCCAGAGAGGTTGTGGAGTTTCCTTCTCTGAGACATTCCAAACCTGTCTGGTCACATTCCTGTGTGACCTGCTCTAGGGGATCCTGCTCTGGCAGGGGGGTTGGACTAGATGATCATTCAAGGTCCCTTCCAACCCTGACCATTCTGGGATTCTATGATTCAAGATAACTGGCCCCAGCCCTGGGGACCACTGGTGACCAGCCCCCAGCTGGACTGAACTCCATTCACTGGGAGGAATCCAAGATCCCTCTGGATCAGCCTGTCCCCCCTCCAGTCACAGCTCACCTCTGCCCCAAGGATGTCATGAGCTACCTGGCCTGGTGTCCTCAGAGCCAGCCCCCCGGCCCCCGTTACCCCAGCACTGCTCCACATCCTCCCTGCCCAGTTCCACAACCAGGGCAGATAACCCAGCCCTGCTTCAGCTGATAAGCAGTTCCCACAGCCTGATCCTACCTGATAAGAGCTCCAAGACAGGCAGAGCCACTGCCCAGCCTGGCCCTGGGGCCATCCCTACCTTTGCCACAGGGCCAGAGCTCCCTGGGAGCACTGGGGGAGGGGGTGTCTATTCCTCCATCACCCCCAGCTCAGGGAAATGCCCCACGGGCTGTGTCAGCCACAACCCTGGCATCCCTCCTGTTAGCAAAAGGTTTGGGCCACCAACCCAGAAGGCCAGTGTCACTTCGACCCAGTCCTGGTCCTGCTGTATGGAGGGCTCAAGTGTCACATAGGGGACACCAGACCAGTGGCATCCATGTGACAACAGCGATGGGACCTGACACAGGCAGGGCTGCCCCTCCACCTTCAGGGGACACACGGGTCTGGTTGTCTCACCTGAAGGCTGTGAGCTCCACCTTCTCGTGGTCACTGGTCACCAGCTCAGGGATGAGGGAGAGGTGGGAGATCTGTGTGGCTGCCCAGCCAAACTGGAAGATGATGATGAAGGGGAGGTAGTAGATGAAGGCTGCCCACTGTGGAGTGCTCTCCTTGCAAGCCAGGCAGGGGTTGAAGATGAAGGGGAAGGACACAAGGACACAGGTGGTGCCTGGGAAGAGAGTGAAGAAGTGAGGGACTGCAAGCCTGGTATCCCTGGGACCCCAACAGCCTCGGACAGCCCAGACACAGACAGACACAGCCACCCCTCTGCTAGGACAGGTCCTACCCCACAGGGCTGGGGAAGGAGGTGGGGCCCTTTCCCCAGCCAGGTGAGACACATGGAGCCCAACCCCCCCTCAGCCCCTCCTGCACAGGGTGATGCCTTCCCTCTTGCACCCAGCAGTGAGACAGACAGACACTTGTCAGCACACTTTTCCCCAGTCAGGTTGCCCCCCCAGAGTGCAGCACCATCCTGCACCTGCTCTGTCCCCTCAAAACACCCCCACGCCAGGCTCTGAGCCATGGGAAGGTCCCAGCTGAGTCAGGGACAGCAGAGCCAGGGACCCAGGCCCTGTGCAGCGTGGGGACGCCTGTGTGGAGCAGGCAGGGACAGGCTGACTTCTCCCTCCCCCTTCACAAGGTTGCAGAGCAAATCTGCTGAGGTGTCCAGCTGCTGAGATGCTTGGCCAGGGAGATTGGCTGTGTGCCCTGTCCCACGCGTCCCCAGCTTCACTGGGTGCTGCAAACAGCTGTGGGAACCTGTTCTGATAGCTGAGGGGAACCTGCAGCTGCTTTGCCAGGTCAAGGTCCCTTCTCCAGGGGACTCTGCAAGATCATCCTCCTCACAAGTGATTTCTCCTCCTCTCACCCACGAATGGCAATGCCTCCTTCTCTTCATCACTGCCACGTGGCACAGGCACCACAGGGTTCAGTCAAAGCAGTTCTCCCTGCACCAAGGGCAGGCAGTGACAATCCCAGCCAGGCTCAGATCCATCCTGAGCCTGGACCACCCCAGTAGGGTGCTGCTCTGTGTGAGCCAGCTCTGGTGCTCCAGGATCTCCCCAGAGGACAGGGGACTCAGACACACCATGGTGTCTCTGCTCCAGACAAGCCACTGGGATGGAAAGAGTCAGAAGGTTCAAACCAGACCATACCCCTTTTGTTCCTTGTAACAGGGCTGCTGGTTTTAAGGGAGCCCTGACTGGAGGATGTGGGGAGGCTCTGTCCCCTCCCCAGTCCCAGGGCTCACAGGGTCAGGCTCTGCAGTCCCCAGGGGCTGCTGCAGCCTCCACATCCACCTGGGCACCCACCCAGTGGGCACTGTCACACCCAGGAGACTCCTGGCACTCCCTCATCCTCCTGGCACCCAGGGACAGGCAGCACCCACCACTGGGGCCACCCCACCGGCCCAGAGGGGTCCTGAGGGCTCCTCACTCTCCCAAGCAGGGCCCTGGGAGCCCCCCAAGGAACATCCTGCCCATCCCTGCAACACCCTGAGGTCCCAGACACTTGTCTCCTGGCCATGCAGGGCAGGATCACGGGAAGGCACAGGCACCCGGGGCAGGGAATTTGGGAGAGGCAGGCAGCAAAGACCTGCTCATCCTTCCCGGCCCGTTGCGGCAGGCAAGTGCGCCCCAAAACACTTGCAAGCCAGGCAGGGGTTGAAGATGAAGGGGAAGGACACAAGGACACAGGTGGTGCCTGGGAAGAGAGTGAAGAAGTGAGGGACTGCAAGCCTGGTATCCCTGGGACCCCAACAGCCTCGGACAGCCCAGACACAGACAGACACAGCCACCCCTCTGCTAGGACAGGTCCTACCCCACAGGGCTGGGGAAGGAGGTGGGGCCCTTTCCCCAGCCAGGTGAGACACATGGAGCCCAACCCCCCCTCAGCCACTCCTGCACAGGGTGATCCCTTCCCTCTTGCACCCAGCAGTGAGACAGACAGAAACTTGTCAGCACAACTTTCCCCAG